TTGTACCTCTCGGGTCAAAATTGGCCGAGTTATGGCCATTTTAGTTCAGGGGTGGTGTCGGCGGTCTGCCTATAGCGTTTTTCTGCACTGTATTTTCAATGGGGTGAAGACCAAAACTTTGACAGGCTCTCGTTCCAAGGCTATCAGAGCTGGAAAGTTGAAATTTGCACTGAAGGTAGATGCCTATTGGAAGTTGTTATGTTGCACATTTCAAGTCCCTTTCGTGAAAACTCTGCCTGTTACAGCACTTTGAGTTTCAGATTTTTTCCCGAACCAAAATATAAGCAAATTTCCCTCTTGAAAATTCGGGTGCAACTTCAAAGTCGATTTTCCCGAAAGATTTCAAAAAATACGAATTTCTGTTTTCGACTGAAATAGATAGAAGACATGTTAAACTTTCGTTTGCAACAAAATTTAAACCTCTGGGGTCAAAATTGGCGAAGTTATGGCCATTTTAGTGAGGGGGTGGGGGTCGGCAGTCCGCCTATAGAGTCTTATAGTACTGGCTGGGGTGAAGGCCAAAACTTTAACAGGCTGCCGTTCGAAAAGTATCAGAGATGTAAACTTGAAATTTGCACTGAAGGTACACACTCATCTGAAGTTGTTGTGTTCCAAATTTCAGCTTCCTATCTTAAACACTCTGCCAGTTGCAGCACTTTTGGTCTCAGACTTTTTCTCAAAACCAAAACATAAGCCAGTTTCCACTTGAAATTGAGGGTGCAACTTCAAAATCGATTTTCTCCAAAGTTTTCAAAAAATGCGAATTTGTGTTTTCGACTGAAAGAGATAGAATACATGTTAAACTGCCGTTTGCAACAAAAATCATACCTCTAGGGTCAAAATTGGCTGAGTTATGGCCATTTTAGCACGGGGGTGGGGGTCGGAAGCCAGCCTATACAGTATCTATGCAATCTAGTGGCAGCGGTCCAGGTGAAGACCAAATCTTTGACAGGCTGCCGTTCGATAACTACCAGAGATGGGAAGCTGAAATTTGCACTGCAGGTCCGGACCCATCTGAAGTTGTAATGTTGCAAATTTCAAGTTCCTACCGTGAAAACATTGCCAGTTGCAGCACTTTGAGTTTCAGATTTTTTCCCAAACCAAAATGTAAGCAAATTTCCCTCTTGAAAATTCGGGTAGAACTTCAAAGTCAAATTTCCCGAAAGATTTAAAAAAATCCGAATTTCTGTTGTCGACTGAAATAGATAGATGTTAAACTTTCGTTTGCAACAATAATTACACCAAATTATGGCCATTTTAGTGCGGGTGTGGGGGGTGGCAGGCAGTCTATACAGTCCTGTTGTACTGGTTGAGGTGAAGACAAAACTTTGACAGGCTGCCTTGGGAAAACTATCAGAGATGTAAGACTGAAATTTGCACTGATGGTACACACCCATCGGAAGTTGTTGTCTTCCAAATTTCAGCTTCTTATCTTGAAAACTCTGCCTGCTGCAGCACTTTTATTTTCAGACTTTTTCCCCAAACCAAAAAATATGCCATTTTCGTCTTGAAAATTCGGGTGAAACCTCAAAGTCGATTTTCTCAAAACTTTTTCCAAAATCCGAATTTCTGTTGTCGACTGAAATAGATAGAAGACATGTTAAACTTTCGTTTGCAACAAACATTATACCTCTCAGACCAAAATTGGCCGAGTTATGGCCATTTTAGTGCGGGCGTGGGGGGTGGCAGGCAGCATATACAGTCCTGTTGCACTGGTTGAGTTGAAGACCAAAACTTGTCTTCCAAGTCGGAATGTGGATAGACTTTACATTGGAATACGTCATCGGGGCCCATCAGCTGATCAAATTTTATATATGGTTAATAAGCGCCATGTAAAATGGATAATGAATCAGTTGATATTGACTATGTTATATTGGTTAGAAATAATAATTTGTATGACAATGTTTTGTTGCGGTGTGGTTGTTCTTGTGTTTTAATTCAGTGACACTTTTTTAGTATTACCGATTGCGTTCGGTTCGGATATTAGGGGTATATTTATTTAGGAAGGTAAACACCAACTTGATTTACTCTTAGAAAATTGAAATATAGAATTATTCGATGTGTCTCTCGATATTACATAAGTTCTTGTGATTTTATTTGATATAATTGTCGCATATTTAGGAAAATTTGGTCTACCAATTCATCAATTGAGGACAAATTAATTTCTCATCTCAAAGGAACAGCTTCACCATTTTACTAAGGCTGATTTGGACACATTATCTAAATGGCCTTAAGAGGTGATAGAAATGTACCAAAATCGCATAATTGATATACTGAAAATGTATCAGGAAAGTGGGCGTATCTTGCTAGCAAACCACTTGTTTAAAATAGATTTTAAAGATCGCTCTTAAATTTATTAATTATTATGAATTATTCATAACATCATTGTAAAAGCTAAAATAATTATGACACGCCCCTTAATGCCTTAACTTTCTAAACATTTGGTCGTTTAAATTAAACTTAGCTTGAGGCGGGTGATGCAATTGATTGATTGACAGATATACGGTTTTAGTTCCCTTTACAGTTTAATGAAAAGAATCTTTTGGATCAAGGAAGAATGTGAATCTTCGCCTGACTATTGTCTTGTCACATGATAACGCATTGTTTATTTCCCACTTAACGTTTAAGTAACTCCGACTTTATTAATCCTGTTGCCAACAATTACTGTGGGATATCTAGGTATGATATCGACTGGGCAATATCGTAATGTAACATGTAACATTATATTTCTTTGTATTACCCCGAGTTGTCTGGCAGGTGTTCTTTAAAGGGAAAGATTCGCAATTTTCGGGGGTTGATTTTGGATCTTGAATGTAATCATGTGAAAAGTCTTAGTATGAAAATCACACAATTCCTTCAAAAATACCTAAAACTAAGAATTTCACTTTCTGTTTTATATAATGCCTTTTCTATATATGGCAGAGTCCCAATATAAGACGAGGCGAGTCGTCATTTGAAAGCTCAAATTTCGATGGTGAAATGTGAACACTATTACTGAAGAGCTAAGCTAAAAAATTTCACGTTTCTGAGACTAAGGTACGACTGGTCAAACGAATGGCGAAAATGTCCCTTTAAATGTTAAGTCATATGTTAGTCTATTTAGAAATATTAAAACAATTGAATCATGTTATTACTCATGTTTCACTCTATACGGTCTTCAGACAAATGACCTATTATTAGTTATTATTGATGACCTTCTGTTGTTAATTAATGTTAATAATTCTATTTTTGTGAGGTGTAGAAGTCTAAAAGTGAAACGTGTGTTTTGAAATATTACAAGCTCTTGAACGTAAATATTGCATTTAGAATGTGACATGCCTTTTAGTTTGATACAAAATTAATATAGCCCATAGTTTTATTCTAGACAGCTGTCTTCCGATATCCATAGTTTATTTTAGCGTGATATCATGAGTGGGATGTGGTCAAAGGGAGACAATTTTATATTGATTTGGTCTTTAGTCTTATTATAAACTTGCATTAAATACAATAATTCATGAAGATTTATTGTATAAAGGTAAAGAGGTAGTGCACAAGCTGGGTTTATTGTCCCATCAGTACGACTAGACGCTTTTTCCATGTCAGGGCCCTCTTACCTGCATCACTGAAAAATTCGAAGGTATTATCTCGATCTATGCCGGTATTGAACCATAGATCTTCAGGATAGCGAGCAAGCGTCTAACTAACTGAGCCACCGCGGCTCCCTATAATTACAGGAAACAACCTTAGTAGTGTTATATTCGAGACATCAGCTCTGCGCCCCTTTCAAGCCCATTATCTCAATATATACGCATTCCAATATAATAAATAAATAATATAAGTAGTTAATAATAAAATAACTTTTGTTTGTAATTATGTTCATCTAGTAGCATAGTCGTCTTCTGAACACTGGCAAAGGCAGAAATCAAATGAAATCTTACAAATATAGTATGGTTTAAAGGAACATATTCGCCATCCGTTTGACGAATAAATTTTGGGCTGAATTTTTCAGTTGAGCCTTCAAATCCATGCCCAGCATTAACCGGGTTTGAATGTTAAAATGACAACTCGTCATTTCTTGAGACTAACAAAGGCTCAATACTAAGTGTGAAAATTCTAGTGTGAGGTATTTTGAAGGAACTATGCGATTCATTTCTTGTAGCTCTGAAGACTATTTACGTAATACTATATTCAAGGCCCAAATCGACCAAATGGCGAATCCGTCCCTTTAACTTACACAAAACACACCGTTCTTGTTGATGTTTCGTGCATAACAATATCATTAGTTGAATCACTGGTGATATACTTAGACTGGAAACGCTGGTCGAATGTGGTCAAAGGGAGAGAATATCACATTGCCGTGGTCTGTAGTCTCAATTAGGATATATCAAACGTCTTTACATTACGCAATTGTAAAAAGGATATATAGACACAGCTTTATGGAACAAAAATCGCTGGTTAAAGATTTTGCTCATAGTAAGACATATCAGAGATCATGCTTGTTCCGTGTTAGAATTCTGGTCCAGGCCAGTATCGTACTCAATGGAGTTCCAGGCTTGGTCCCCCCCTTGTCGGGGAATTACCAATATTGCACTCCAAACTACTTAAAAATGCAGGAAAGGGCAAAATGGGAAAGGGGCAAATTGGGAAAGGTCATTGAGAATAAGAGACGAAATGAGAAGGGGCGGGGTGAGATAGGGGTGAAATAAAAAAGGAGCTAAATGGAAAAGGGGCGGAAAGGAAAGGGCTAAATGGGAAGAGGTGCAATGAAAATAGATTGAAGCGAATAAAATTAATCATCCTGTTCAGCAAAAAATGATGATATGAAAACTCACAAATGAATCAATAAATCTTTATCATAACATAAAAAATACATCAAATAAATACAATTTATTTAATTACAATTACAATTCAATATAATAGCTTCACTTGAAAATCTTCCATTATTGACCATTAAATATGGTGTGAGGTTTAAAAGCGAGGTTTAATGTGGTTCAAGTAATGTATGAGGTTGAGTGGTGAGGTTAAAGCGAGGTGTTAGGAAGATGTAAGGTTGAATGTTGAGGTTCAAATGTGGTGTGAGTAATGTGTAAGGTTGAATGTTGAGGTTCAAATGAGATGTGAGTTATGTGTGAGGTTGAATGTTGAGGTTCAAATGTGGTGTGAGTAATGTGTAAGGTTGAATGTTGAGGTTCAAATGAGATGTGAGTTATGTGTGAGGTTGAATGTTGAGGTTAAAGCGAGGTGTTAGGAAGATGTAAGGTTGGATGTTGAGGTTTAAATGTGGTGTGAGTAATGTGTGAGGTTGATTGCCGAAGTTCAGGGAAAGGAAGATGTGAGGTTGAATGCTGAGGTTTAAATTCAGGGAAAATAAGATGTGACGTTGAATGCTAAGGTTTAAGCGAGGTGTGAGGTTGATGTTATATCACGAGGTTTTGAGGTGGTGTGGGGAACTGAGGTTATATTATGAGGTTCAAGTGTGGTGGGGGGAACTGAGGTTATATTATGAGGTTTAAGTGTGGTGGGGGGGAACTGAGGTTATATTATGAGGTTCCAATGTGGTGGGGGGAACTGAGGTTATATCACGGGGTTTCGAGGTGGTGAGAGGATCTGATGTTGTATTATGAGGTTTCGATGATGTACTGAAATAAACCTGTGAGGTCTGAGATTTTGTTGAGTGCAAACTTATGCCACAGTAGCAAAATGGTCTCAAGTTTGATATATTGATACAGTCGGCTGTGTTGCCATATCTATTTGCTCTGCTGATAGCACCACCCAATCGGAAGCCTGGTTTTCTGATATCATGTTCCATTGTGGCTTCATACTCAGCATTGTCTGGTGTTAGTATAAAATATGATTTTATTAAAGTTATAGCGGCATGGCCTAAACTACGATATCCTTTCACATACCGAACTGATTTTAATATTCTTTTTGCACACATTGAATGTTTACTTATCTTTAGATTTATTTGTTCCACTAGAAATGTTATACTCTTGTTGCTGAGCTGATCATCAATTGGTATTTCTTCAGAATCACAAACACAATAGTGTGGTACTATTGAGGCCTGGCTACAGGTACGGGACCCTGGTATCGGATCAAAAAGACTTATTCCTGCTTTGTCGGTGTTTACCACTTTTCTTGGTGTTCCAGAGAAATATAGAATGTCTTTCAACGTTTCGTGAATATCAAAAGGACTTGTCAATTTATTTGCGTTCTGAACGACATTTCCATAGACTGCGGGATATTTTCTTCGAAACCAAGTCGGAAAAACAATATTCATTAACGGCATGCGCAATTCTTTCTGACCAATTTCCGTTTTTAAAATGTCACCATACATTACACCATGGTCAGAGATAAAAAATAGTATGGTATTATTTAACAATCCTTCTTTTTGAACATCTTTTAAAAATTCAAAATAATCATCATCAATATAAGCTGCGTTCTTAGGGTCATCATGTGTCATTCTTGAAATGAAGCTCCAAGCAAAGTAGGGCAAATCTTTGTATGTTTTAACAAAATCCTTGGCGTAATCCAACACAAGTTTAGTTTCAGATCGGTTCGAAACACAACGACTTGATTTCCAAGACACCCCACTTACTTTATCTATCGATAGTGAAAATGGTCGTAGATAGTGATGGGTGGGTGGCTTAGCAAAACCTTTCTTTTGGTAATTAAATGTAGCTATATTTGGGGCATCTTCAGACATCATTGTGGTGTAACCATGAGATGAAAAGTTTTTCCAAATTAAGTGATACTTATCAAATGGTCCCTTTTCGTTAGTTATTCCTCGCTTCTCGTTTTCCACTGCAACAAAATTTCCAGTCAATAATGGCGTCATATTAACGTACGTATTATGTGCTACCTTATTGTAACCCTTCAAATCAACGGCTGACAGATTTCGGAGTAAAAAATGGCGAGTTTTTGGCATCGATCGGATGTGATTTGATCGAGATAATGAATCGATTCCTATCACCAAGACGCTCAAAATTTCAGCAGGTTTATTTTCATGCTTATGATTTTCCATTAATTTATGGAGATGTTTTTCGCGAGTTAAGTTTCTTGGAGTGAAAGCATGTAAGTTTGAATACAAATGAGAACCAGTTTTGTCAAAGCATTTAACTCGAATGAATTCAGATGACACGTTGAAGCTCTGGGTAAAGTTTGTGGAGCCAACAAATGATAATTTATTGTCGTCATTTTCTCCTCGGATGATTGTATTAAAAGTACAATATGAAACAGAACGATTGTCGAGTTTTAACAAAAGTCCATTTTGGTATGTTAGTGGTGTTTTCGAATCACACCCTAATCGACGCGGTTTGCTGTGAAATGGCATTACTGAAGCATCGAAAGGGTCATAGAAAGGAATAACACAACCTTCGGTGTTAACATATCTTTGAGGAGATGGCGGCGTAATCAACATTGTTTGTGGTTCCGCTTTCCAGCTCCACATCAAAGTGAATGTAAAACTACATATCGCCAGTAAAATGAGGGATTTAAGATATGTATAATTCATAATAATCTTCAATATCCGTCGGTTCCTTTCACTTTTCATTCCTGTGTTGTGTAAGTTCCTTTTACTGAAAGCACGGTTTGTTCATCTGTAGAGTAAGTTCCTTTACTGAAAGCACGGTTTGTTCATCTGTAGAGTAAGTTCCTTTACTGAGAGCACGATTCAGTACTGTGTTGTATAAGTTCCTTTAACTGAAAGCACGATTTGTTCAGTCATATGTTATGTAAGTTCCTTGTATTGAAAGCACGATTTTTTCATCTGTTGTGAAAGCACGATTTGTTCATCTGCAGTGTAAGTTCCTTGTATTGAAAGCAGGTTGGTCATCTGTTGAATAAGTTCCTTGTATTGAAAGCACGATTTTTTCATCTGTTGTGAAAGCACGATTTGTTCATCTGCAGTGTAAGTTCCTTGTATTGAAAGCAGGTTGGTCATCTGTTGAATAAGTTCCTTTTATTGAAAGTGCGATTTTTTCATCTGCTGTATAAGTTCCTTTTATTGAAAGCACGATTTTGTCATCGGTTGTGAAAGCTCCTTTAATGAAAGCACGATTTAGTCATGTGTTGTGAAAGTTCCTTTACTGAAAGCTTGATTCAGTCATCTGCTATGAAAGTTCATTTTACTGAAAGCACGATTGAATCTTCTGTTATGAAAGTTCCTTGTACATAAAGCACGATCCTTTTTTGAGAGCAAGATTGTTTGTTTAAAAAGTCAGATGAGGTTTTGCTGATTTGATAGAAGTAATACTATCTTGTATTTCAAATTACTTTAAATCTCTTTATTCTGAAATTTAAAGAAAAAAATAATCAAATTTTAATATGATTATAATAATAGTAATAAGAAATAATGCGATTTTCGAAGATTTCTAATACCATTTACATATATTCAAGACTAAAATCAGCACCACAAAATACAACTCAAGTATTTTTTTTTTATTTTGCATCGGGGTGTCATTGTCCAATCGAAAAAATTTTTATAAGTCCACATGATATAAATAATTGTTGTTGCACCTGTCCGTCGGTCTGGTCCGTCCGTCAACATTTTTGATGAAAGTGTGAGCATCGGAATTGGTAAGATTGCAGTCAAGTCCGAATTTAATCATTTTTCGATGAACAGATTTTGAGTTATTGCCCTGACTTAGTAAAATCACGTCAAAATTTGTTTGTCGGCAATAAGGCATTGGACATATATAACTTAAGTCGCTCTATTTAGTTAGGTTATTTTCTCCAACATGAAAAGAGTTTTAGGGAAAACATAATGAAACAGAGCTAATCACGAAATTTTAAAGAAGGTAATGCAATCCATTAATGATCCTGAAAAAGGTAATATAAGAAAGTTGTCCGAGTTGTCTTGTAATCAAAGAAATGGGTTGAAAACTGCTGATTTGGTAAATAATAAATAGACATACCTGCAATGTATTTATTTTTAACTCAAAAAGTACTTCCTATAGGCAATCCATAGGTCTAAATAAGTTCCAAATTAAACTTGCACTGTCAAATGATATGAGTTTTATTGGCAAATGGCTTGGAATTTATTAGATGGCTTTGAAACGATCATCTAATCAACTGTGTATTGTTGATATATGAATAAGAAATTTAAGATGGCATTTACGAATATCGGCTTATAATCTATTTTATAATTGGTTATACAGGATTAAGATTATATGGATTAGCCAAAAAGCTTTGTAATAATTACGACACCAGCCATAATCTAATCAATGAGCTAATTGGATATGGTATAATGGTTTGAGTTATGTTTCTTGCAGTAAAATTTACACTTACGAATGCCCACCTTAACATTGTGCAAAGGTGACGCGAGATGGAAAATGATTGAACTACAAAAATATTCATCTTTCCAAATATACCTGGGTTTTGTAGATCCGAGGTAGGATTAAAGCCCCGCTCCTTCGAAGTTCCCATTTAATAGGGCCTATTTTTTTGTCTCTACACCAGCTGGCATCTGTCCAAATGGCTATCAGAGGCTGGAATAGAGACAGGTGTTTCGGTCTTGTGCGTTTAGTAGTATACACACTGACAACATGTTGTATAAAATGGTATTAGTTTGTACAGATCGGAAACATTTGAAAACACATTGTCCAACTGATGCCGTATGTATACAGGGCCCAATTTTTGCCCAGGTGTGTTGCCGTAAATGTTGTATACAGTACTTTATAAGGAATATATAAACTGTACAGCAGGAGAATGATTAAATAAATCTTGAACTTGGTTTTAAAATGATATATTCCTATTGTTATCTCAAGACATCCTAATTATCCTATAGTATAAGTTCGTAAAATTGGTTATATACAATGATATAAACCCTGCACATAAAAAACAACGTGGAAATTTGTAAAGTTAGCAATATCAAATTAGGGTACCAGTATGACAACAATTAAAACTAGCACGTGCGTTTTCTCTATCGGATACAAAAACACTGTGGAATACTATTCGATCGCTATGTTGTCCGAATCGCAATTTGTATTGAAAGGAAATGTCAGGCCCATAACCAAACTTGATAGTACGAAGGGGAAAATAATATATCTATATATACGAAGTTCACAGAACACCACTCCTTAGGAGGTCCCACTCACGAAAAAAAGATGTACCAAAGTAACTGTATTATGTAGGAGTCTCGTAATGCAGTTGAGAATAATATGTTTAAAAAAAATTCACAGGGAAGGGGTCCAAACCCTCTTAATATATTTGGCCTACACTCGTCTAGTTGAGCCACTGCTGCCAAATAGTATTGAAAGTCTTACAACGTCTCTTGGTATATTAAAGTGTCCATTAAGTTTCTTTAGTTGTTATCTACCTTTAATATTGAGTTATTTGTAGTCGTGTTTCTTTATTTGTTATGTGTAGTCTTGTCCCTTTACAAATTAGTTATTTGTAGTCTTGTTTTTTTTTAGTTGTTATGTCCCTTTAATATTTGTGTAATTTGTGTAGTCTTTGTTTCTATACTTGTTATGCCCCTTTACAATTGAATTATTTGTAGCCTTGCTTCTGTAGTTGTTATATCCCTTTAAATTGAATTATTTGTAGTCTTTGTTTCTTTACTTGTTGTGTACCTTTGTAATTGACTTATTTGTAGTCTTGTTTCTATAGTTGTTATGCCCCTTTACAATTGAATTATTTGTAGTCTTGTTTCTATAGTTGTTATGTCCCTTTGCAATTGAATTATTTGTAGTCTTTGTTTCTTTACTGGTTATGTCCCTTTACATTCGAATTATTTGTAGTCTTTGTTTCATTACTGGTTATGTCCCTTTACAATTGAATTATTTGTTGACTTGTTTCTGGAGTTGTTATGCCCCTTTAATGCGGAGCAGTATGTAGTTTTGTTCGACTGTCCAATTTTTAATTCAATTTTAGACCTATATCTACTAAGATTAACAACATATTGCTTTCAGGTACGAACGGAGCTGGACCTACCCGTTCCTAGGACGTGATAGGGCCACGCATAAAATTTCACTTTTTATGGGAGCTGCTTCGATCCACTTTTGGATCGCTATTTTGAGAATTTTCACTATGAAAAAAGCCAAATTTGGAAACACACGGGTGCATATAGACCGACAGCTTCGTGTATGTGAATACCGTTATATAAAACAAAAAAGAAAAATACAAATTCAAATATCACAGAATTTATTTATTAAATAATTGTTGTATACAAATTATCAACATTTATCTGTTATATACAAAGTGATAAATAAATGCAAGCAAAAATAATTCATTTCTCAAAAAATATATATACACAATTTGTTTTAGGGATTGTCGGTACCGTATTAAGACTCCGGTTTACACTCATACCATACGGATTGTTATGAACATCACTGTGTTTTAATAATGAATATGGCATGTATTGTAAGGGCAACAGAAGGATGATTAAAAGGTGTAAGGATATTAAGAGGGTAATAAACCAACCGGGCGATGATTACGTTCGGACACAAGTTCATGCAGACGATGATGATTTATTGACACATCCAAGTGTCATAAGAATGTCGAACAGGGCAAGGTAACGATGTCGAACAGGGCAAGGATGGACATTGTGACATACCGTAACTGTTGTGGAACATTCTGTATGTATGAGAAAATCAAGGATGGCGTAAGAGCACATCTAGGATGTTGTACGGACACATCAAGGATGTTGTAAAGGCACATGAACGATATTGTATGAGGACATCTAAAATGTTGTAAGGGCACATCAGAGAAGTTGGGAATTTGGAGGGTAATCAAGCTTTCTAAAATGAAGTATCCGAAGTCTAAAATAAGAAAGTACCAGGTAGTTTGATTAAATGGGGGTACGGTCGAATCGCTTGTAAGAATGGCGAATAAGCCAGTGCTTCTGTTGTGCCATCTTCACAATGTTCAGATACTATGAACTACGTCTTATACCTTGACTGCAATAGCCACCTTCCTTGTGTCACGGAATGCTGTGATTTGATAATATGATTGTACGAATACAGTCAATCGGAGTCGTTTGTAAACAATCAGCTATAACGTTTACAGTCGAGGGCTCTGATTTGCTGTATTCGCCTGTGTACGATCCAATCAATTCCCCGCATTCCGTGATACAAGATAGGTAACTATTGCAGTCAAAGGATAATACAATGTAATAATATCTAGGCATTATAAGGATGTTCCAAATGGCACAATTTATTTATAATCATGGACGGAAAAGCGCCAACTAGCAAAATTTAAAGCAAAAATTAATTGAGGATCACTTATCTTACTTATAGCATATAGTTCAAATAAATTATATTGCAAAAACAAAAAAGATAACATTGGAAGCACCTGCTACCACTCTAGGTCATTCTTTTGGAAAGTAAATTTTGGACTGTTTTCGGAGTAGAATTGTTGGTACCATCGTCTATGTCTTGCCACAAGACCATCTTCTGCTGATTTGACCAGTAATGGTTTACTTTCATATTTCTTATTATTCCATATCATTATATCTCGTTCAACCTGAAATCAAAGAATAATTGAATTGGTGAATAAATTGTTGATTGGATTATTGCATTGAATAAATATTCAATTGATTGAGTGAAAGTTTGATTTAGAAAAAGCAATACTTGAATAGGAGAAAAATGTTTGATTGGAAAGTTGATTTGTTGATTTATTTAGAATTAACTTGATTGGGTGAAATTTTGATTTAAAAAGGAATATTTGAATAAATGAATAAATGGTTGATTTTAGTTATATTGTTGATTGAATTAATATTCATTCGATTGAGTGTAATTCTAATTTTAGAAAAAGGAATAATTGAATTGGTGAATAAATTGTTGATTGTCACACTGAATTGTTGATTGAATTAATATTCATTTGATTGAGTGTAATTCTAATTTTAGAAAAAGGAATAATTGAATTGGTGAATAAATTGTTGATTGTCACACTGAATTGTTGATTGAATTAATATTCATTTGATTGAGTGTAATTCTAATTTTAGAAAAAGGAATAATTGAATTGGTGAATAAATTGTTGATTGTCACACAGAATTGTTGATTGAATTAATATTCATTTGATCGAGTGAAATTTTGATTTAAAAAAGGAATTATTTCTATTGGAAGAATGAATATTTGATAGGAAGAATTCTTGATTGCAATGAATGAATATTTTCATGAATGATGATGATTGATGCATCAGTATTGTTGATTGTATGATAATAACTTTCTGAAGCAATCAACAATCTTCCACGGTTCGAATACAAAATAAATACAAGATTATCATGGTTTGGAGAATTTTCGGACTTACCTGAATGGCTTCAGCTAATAAATAAAATTTGGCTATACACATTGGTACCGTCCAATTGACGTAAATATTATGTACCATCTTCTGTAACATGGGCTCTACTGGTGTTAAACTTTGAATATAAACACCTGTACACAATGCACTAGAAAATTCCATATATACAATACCGGGCCCTATCTGAAAATATATCAAACCATACCATTTATTACATTTAAAGAAAATGTACTGATTTCCAAGGCTCAAAATTTCACCAAAAACGAGAAACTATGAAATATTTCAGTCAGAAATTAAAGAATCAGAAAGGAGTTTTGCGTCTTACTTTTCTGTACCTGTTTGAGCTTATGAGGACGAGCAACGCCACTGTTTTTCGATTTAAAACTGCCGAGGGCAAAGGTTCATTGCTCTCATCCGAAAGACAATGTGCTTTTTCCATGACGGTTCCTCCGACGTAACTGACCGGGCGAAAACAGGTTTGAAAAATTTACAGGTTTCATTCCTACCAATGCAGAGATTGAACCCTACAAAATGGTTCGTTAACCGATAGTGGCTTGGTAGAAGTACCATAAAAGAGCCAGAGGTTAGTCCACGTACCTGTTTAGCAATTACTTCCATGTCAATAATAGATAAATTATCACCAAAACATTTAATACTGTGTCCAAGTTTCATTACACCGATATGTTCATTAGGAGAGGATTCAGCTGACCACTGAGCATTCCACACGTGATGTCCGAATCCCCAGAATTTAGACCACATATAACGTAGATCCACACCTGCTCCTAATAGAGGACTATGTACATGTTCCAAATGAACAACATCAGCTCCATTTTGAGGAATCTCCTGCAAAAAAAAAACAAAAAATAAATTAAGAAATTATGCTCCCCTTAAATGCGTTTGTCAGACAACCTCTGTATCTTACAACAGACAAAAGGATAGTTTTCTCAAAAAGCACTGGCCTAGGTCATTAAGTAGGAAACATAATCAGGATTGTTTCATGGGTTGGAGGTCCGATTAGGCGCTACAGAACAATCAAGGGGTATTCGCAACACCAAGAGCTCAGTGGGGTCGGACGCGTTTCGTAGAAAACCCACTGGGAGCAGTCTACATGTATTCGTGCTCGAAGCTTATCAATGCGAAGCAGTAATTTCTTAGACACTGTCAGATATGTCTAGTCCGTTTAGCCTGTCTAAAAATATGTCTAAAACATACCTCAATATGTGAATTAACGTAATGTTCAGTACGACCACCATATTTCCAACTCCCGTCAGCGATTCCTTCTATGGTATACGGAAACCATGATGGATCAATGCCCTCAGCATGAAACCATAAATAAATCCACCCATTGACTTCCATGACAGGCCAGGACTTCACTTTAGCAACAGAAGGCACTATAATAAAACAAAAAGGTAAACATTTTTGAAAATGAAAATGAAATGAGATCTCATTATATGTAAGAGATTGTGTCAAAATGACATACATTGATTTGAAGGCTGTCAGCACTATTACTGATTACTATATCTAAAAATAAATCCCGTTTCTGAGACTAAAGTACGATTGGTCAAACGGATGACAAATCCGTCCCTTTTATGCACTGCTAAGTATATCTTAAAGCTTCCCAATTCCATTCCAGATTTGCGATGGTGACGTCAAAATCTTGTCAACTTTGATTTTTTAGATTTGTGGGAAACGCAGACGTAGGGTGGGAAATTGGAATAAGGCATCAATGTATATACACTAAGGCTAAAAAAAACATAATCCTCCTTATAATATTACTTCGATTAAAAGTATAAATTTAGCCAAAATGATTAACCATTAAGACTTTAGCATTGACACACTCATCCCCTTTCAGGATCAATCATTGCTTCAATACAGAGGCCTTGGGATATTCTACATAAAAGACTACAAATATAGAATCGCTAATCGAGAATAGATGGCCTTGGAAAAATAGATGTCTGGTCCCCTACAGCAAACCATAGCTTTACCAGATGAAAATTGCGTGGGATTTCTCGTCGAAACCAAAATCTAGACACGCAGATAATAATACAGAATAATGGAAATGGATCGAATCCCTCAGGCGGTAATTCAGAGTTTTCGTGAGAACTATATCCTATAAAATTACAATTTATCATCTCTGTAAGACTGTGCAGATTCAAAAGTTTTTTACTGCGCATACTATGTATCAGATGGGCCGGTAATCGGGATGGAGTACAGAGAAACTATAGGTGTATACGTACTAACGATCCTAACCGAAAAACGAAACCAAAAATCCAAACAACATGTTGGCACAACATTGGTAGCAGCTAATGAACATTTCACATGAGAAAGTATATCAATTATAAGTGATTGAATATTGCATAATGAAAAGTGGCATCAGGTGTCTAGAAGAGTAAGCATATACCCATACGATGCACACATAAACAGGCTTGAAATCTCTATGGATTCGATTTAACTACGGACCAATCTAAATGGAAATTCCAATGTACAGGATCAAAATGTTAACTCACCTTTTTCACAGTAAGGAATGTGTGAGCAAACTCCATCATCACCTCGAAATTTCCAGGCGTGAAATGGACATACTAGTTCACTACCCTCTACTCGTCCACCAGCCGCCATATTTGCTCCCATATGTGGACAATATGCATCTACGGCAAAAGCTTCGCCATTCTCGCCTCTAAATACTGCTAAATTTAAACCTGCAAATAAAAAGAAGGGGTATTTTAAAAAAAAATTGTCAAAATAAAATTAGTATAGAATCGTCCAATTTGGTGAAGTAAAGCCCTATTTACAAAAAGGTCCCGATGAGGATTGTGTATTCGAAACGCATATTGAAAGCATGGTATACGCTCTAATTAGAACAATGTAGATTCGTACGTTGAAAACTGAAAGAGGTGGTGCAGGTTCCATTTCTTGTGTTTCAGAGCACAGAAAGCAGTAGAAGATTCTACATGTTGGATAACACCTGAGAACCCGTATGTTCTAAAAAAAATAAGTAACCGGATATGAATCTTGGTATATAATCAACACCCAGTGTTGTGCCACTGGAAGCGAACGTTAACTTGTCATTTACCAAACATTGTGCCTCTTCACGATCGCTCACACAAATATCATTAGCTCGAATCAGTAGGTGGTTAAAATCTATGTAATTCTATCTTAAGTGGTTGTTTTCGGTATCTGTTTCCTTAGCATAGTATCATAATAAACATCACGAACAAGCATTTGACAGTTTGGATATCTCTTGACAAACAAATTCCATAATTCCATTTATTTCCCACAAACTATTTTATCTTGTCATAATAGTTGTTTTCAAATAGAAATATCACCATACAACGTTACATAAGGTCTTGGCCTTGATATATTTGTGGCAATAACAGCATATAGAAGCAACACTATATTATACAAATGTTATAATGACCAGTTTCTCCTTTCGTATACCGATTAACCAATTTTTGTTCACACTGAAAATTACTGTCAATAGAGGGAGTTGTTCGTTGTTCTCTGAAAATCTTTTGCTTTAAACCTTTTCGAAAACGGCCCCTTTTTCAAAAGGGTTAGTTTCAAATCTGCTTTTCGATTAACGGTATAAATATTTAAAAAATATAGCCTATGCAATATAAATTGGTGAATACTACATCTTTGAATAACTGCGTCGTTATAAAGAAATCTTCCCAAACAAGTCCCGCCTAAAGGTTCGACGCAGAACATATCCGTACTCGATTAATCAATACTGTTTTTTTAAAAAGTTCGGGCAGATTGTCTGAGGTACAAAAGATAAGACGTATAAAGAATATCGCATGATACTATTGCCTGTCTAAAAATGCTACAGAATTTAAAGGTCAAAGTATCCCAGCCATATACTGAACCATATCTAGTTACCAATTAATCTTATATGAATACGTGATTATAAATATGTCTCAGTAACCTTCATAATGAACATGCGATATGCCAATAATGATTTTTTTTTAACTTACTTTAGTTTCAGGAGAAATATTACCAGTGGGGGTACACCCCCAAGTGAAGTACCCTCACTTCATTATTTCTCAAATTTAAAAATATGATTTTTATACGTTTTTGCCCCAAAATATGGGTCAGAATGTGCCAAATCAATTCAATATATCAGACGTTTTCTTCAGAGAAGCCTCTCAGACTCCATAAGAGGCTGGCGACCATGACATCTCCACAGAGTTGCCGCATTTTGAATTCAACTTTGAAAGGGGATTTGGATATTTAGATATATATACGATTTTTATGGAAGAGCCTTAACCAGAATTTCAATCTTAAAAGTAAAATACATAGCTGAATGCGTGACCATTTTGCAAGAACAACTTTGCTATCTATGAAATGCTGTTTAGATTTGTAACTGTTCAGGAATCTTCCATAGCACAAAATTGACCTCGTTTTTAGGTAAACCTTCTCCAAGATTGAGATAACCACGCCCATATTTAAGTCAGATCTTGGCCAATTTACAAGTAAATAGGTCAACTTGACCTTAATGCAACCAACAGGTCACGTTTCCACAACAAAGGTCTTTTCAATAATTTATTACAAGTCAAGTAGAACTAAAACTATATTTCAAAAAGCCGGGTAACCAAGGTAAACAATATGGCGGAAGAATGGTAACCATATATACATAGTAAATGCTTTGATTTTCTTCAGGCAAGTTTTACGTGTTTAATAACCTGAAACGTGCGCTTCATTAATCTTGTATGAATTTGTTTATTTTAAAATTAAAGGTGTATGTACACTTATCTAACAGCAGATGGCGTAATAGGCACTAATTTTAAGTAATATATGATATGGAGGTTAGGACACCAATTCAAACTGAATGTTCATAGACTGTGGGCCAACCCTAATCAACGTTCCAGTCGACTGAATTTGTTTCAATTTGTTGGTTTTGTCGATTTTTGAAAAATGACAATGAAGTTCTACTTCTGTTTCCTCAAAAGATAGGTAACATTGGCTGCTTATCTGGTTCAAGAAATAAACCAAACCTAAATCTTTTACCCCATTCTCAATTCACGTCCTCGTCAGAACATCTGGCTTTGGGAATTGGTGTATCTTTTCAATATCAAACTTTAAGCAAAATAGGAAAAACCTACAGGGGCGAAATTTGACCGAATTACACAATGTAATTTATTTCATAGAAGTGCAGGAAAGCATTCACTTGAACACAAATTTCTTTATAATGTTGTTAGATCTGAATGAATTGAGTTTACAATACATAAAAGTGCATATGATAGGAATAACGCTACGAAATCGATCATCAGCTAACTGAATATGCACTTTAAATTTAATGTAAGTGCATGTATGGACAAGTGCGTGTATTTCCTGACACATCTAATTATTCGTTTCGTTTTTTCAATGGTGGACAATTTCAAGCCTATACAAATTCAAGTATTTTGTATTGTTATTAAATCTTTGAAAGGTAAATTTAGAAAATCTTAGCTACCATAACAAAGCCGATTCTCAGCAAAAATGACAACAATTCAGTTCTTTGAAGAAGTACGTCCTACTTTTCTGAACCTTTTTGGAGGTTGAAGATTGTGTAGTGTTTCCCAAAATGCCTACTGCATAGCGTGGCAAGCCACTTGAGTCCTGGGCATCATCCTCCAGCAACAGCAAAATCATTAGGTCCTAATAAAAATTTATTTAATTTATTTAAAGATGTAACATAAAAAATGACGCAATATTAAAATGTAATTGCGAAACATTTCATAAGAATGACAACATACAAATACTTTAGTTATAAGAATGTGTGTTGCATATTGCAATTGACATACTTTAGTCGCTAGTATTTGAATTGAATATTACGCAATAATCCATAATTATATGAAAATTAATTTTCACAAATAAGCAATCATCTTGCAACCAAAAAAGAAAATCACTTTAAGACCCTTAAACCATAGCAAAAGTACAACTTCTATAGAACCATTGACTTAAAGTACTTATGAGTTTGGAACTATTGACTTAAACACTTATGGGTTTGGAACTATTGACTGAAAGTACTTATGAATTCGGAACTATTGACTGAAAGTACCTATGAATTTGGAACTATTGACTGAAAGTACTTCTGAATTTTGAACTATTGACTTAAAATATTTATGAATTTGAAACTATTGACTATTACAAATAAGTTCAGAACAATTCTTTAAGAGTACAAACGAAATGAACATGCAGCAAAATGGCCTAAAACTTTTCAAAGTGCGAAAGTACCTTTAAAATACATTGAACCAAGTTCAAGTTAATTGTTTCATTGTCAAGCCGATGTTTTATTTCAACTACGTGCGAGACTGAATGAGTTTGTGTCTAAGGCCATGTTTACACGACATTCCGTGTATGTGTGGCCAATATTGACAATGTTAAAACCAAATTAACTTAACTAAAGACCATCAAATATAGAATGCTTCTGTCAGCCACATAAAAATAGAATCAGTTGACAATTAGTCCGAATCTTTTTGACCGCCAAGGAAATTGATAACATCAGGTCGTAGTTCGAATTCGATGGAATAGTTCGTTTCGATTTTTCGTTCGAAAATACATGGGAAAATGAGAAAACACCTCAGACTGACATAAATGTTGAAACCCGTTGACAATTTTGTCCGCCAAGAAAATTGATAACTTTGTTCGAATTCGAATTTGACAGAACAGTTAGTTTCGAATTTACGTTGGAGTTTATTATGGCCAAAATGCCGCATACTTCAAACTGAATTCGAAAGAAATAAACTAATGAAACTGTGTTCGCAAATTTCACCCCATTGTCAACTCTCAACTATCTGCATAGGATTTCTAATGAGCCAAGTTTAAAAGAAATACATCAGAATATTACGGATTAATTATCACCAACAGCAAAAACAGATACAGTTAGTGATTCTTTTAATCTAGATTCAAATCAAAATATTGATTGAGAGCAGTTTGACAGGTGTATCTTGATTTGTTTTGATTGAAACTAGATCAAATAATACTAGAAGAATTTCTACCTTGACAAGTAGTAAATAAACGAATAGCTATCTAGTTTAACAAAGGAAACCAAACGACAAAAAAGCTCTTTGAGGAAAACGGTTTCAAAATTCTTTACAAAGAGAACACATTATAAAATTGTAAGTGGTCTTAAGTCAAAAAGATATAGTTTTAAAGGCGTCGACTAAGATGCAACTTTAGTCAAAAATACACTGCAGCTACCATACTCTATCGAGACAAATGTCCAAATATTAAAGAGGGCCTAGAAAAGCTTCAAGGTTTTTTTTTTTCAAGATAAAATATCAGTAATGCAATTGTCAGTGACAACAACCCAAAAGAAAATTAAATGATTGAGTTTTACGTCCTACTTTTCTGCAACCCAAAAGAGAAGTTGCACCCATAGGCATTATGAAACCTAAGTAGCCTACATTACAGCCGAACACACAGTCGAGACTAATGTTATTGCAAAAACCATTTGACACTTAAGGACAAAATTGCCACAGCCAAGTGAACGTCTTCAAACTCATATTGAAACAATCTGTAGCCGTTTCAGATTCTGAAAGGTCCATTAAGTAATAAGTATAGATTTCCCGAGATCAAAATCTTGGCTGTATTATCTATTCCAATCAAACCCAATCAAAAAGCGGATCATAAGCGATTATTTATTGATACTAAATCAAGCCATAATGCCATAGCACCGAAATATTTCCCTACTATATTTCACTATCTTGAGTTATCG